GCGTGAGCAGGGGAGGGTCAGAGAGAGAGGGAGTCACAGACTGAAACAGGCTCCAGGCTCCGAGCTGGCAGTCAGCACAGAGCCCGACGCGGGGCTCGAACCCACGAACCGCGAGATCATGACCTAAGTGAAAGTCGGACGCTCAACCGACTAAGCCACCCAGGCGCCCCTTGTGTCACTCTTTAGCAAAGCTGAGCCTGGGGAGCACGAGACGGGGATGCAGAGGCTGCTCGCAGACAGAACACGCCTGACGGATGGAAGCCGAAACCTCCCTGGGCGGGGCTGTCCTGGGCAGGGGCTCCCCCAGCGGGCACCTGGCAGAGGAGAGGCACCTGAAACCTCCATTTCTGGGTCTCTTACGACTGTGGATGGCGGGGCCACCAGCGCAGCCCTCCAGTCCAGCTCACGCTCAGAAAAATACAGTTCATCTCTCTGCCTACTGGCTCGCAGGTCACTTAGGGTTCCCGGAGGGCTTGTGGAACGTGCTTAGGGAGTACGCCCCAGGAGGGTAAAACCGGCTTACTGCGCATGTTAGAGAACTTCATCCTTCTTTCTGGGCTTTTTCTAGACTGCATCACCTTTCATAAGCTCTTTTTATTTTATTAAATTCTTTTTAAACTTTTATTTATTTTTGAGAGACAGAAACAGAGCTCGAGTGGGAGGCAGAGAGGGAGACACAGAGTCCGAAGCAGCTCCAGGCTCTGAGCTGTCAGCACAGAGCCCGACTCAGGGCTCGAACTCCCAAATCGCAAGATCATGACCTGAGCCGAGGTCAGCTTAACTGACCGAGCCACCCAGGCCGCGCCCCATAAATTCTCTGTAGAGCATGATGCCTTTTATTTATTTTTCCAAAGCTACCTTTTCTCTTCTCAGGGCCAAAGCTGCAGAAGTTGAAGAAGGGAGGGACACGAACATAATCAAGGGCCCACTGGGTGTTACATCCTGTGCTGGTTCCTCTGAACACATTTTCCTTAATCCTTACAAGCACCCTAATTCTTCCCACGATGAAAGCCGACCGGAAGGCTGAGACACTATGCGCGACACAGTATCTGTGGGCTAACCTGTGCCCGTGTGTGCGGGGCCCCCGCGCTATGGAGGAGGGGAAGAGCCCTTCCGACTGCGTTTTCCTACCGGCTACCACGCTTCCCACTCAGAGGGTGCCCCGTTCTCCTCGTGAATTGCACTGGCTCACGCTAGTGCCGGTAGATCCCTCTGGACTTGCCACGTGCTTACACACTCCATCCTGCAGGAGATTTTAAGTGGATTGTTGTACGTGGGAGTGAGGCCCAAGGGAAGCGATTCTGTGGTCTACTGGGACTTTCACGCGGAGTCACTAAGCACGAGGGAAGCAGGGAGGCTCTCCCTTCTGGGTGCGACGTGCCAGCTGTCCTCCAGCCCGAGAGGAAGGACACGCAGTGTGTCCACCAAGGGCCAGAACACACCTGGGAGTCCCCGTGTCTTCTCCCACGGCAGTGGGGTGAGCACAGGTGCAGAGATGCTGCCTGGACAGAGAGCAGTGCCACCCTGGCTATGGCAATGCCATGGGGACCGGGACAAACAGGCAGCGGTGTTTTCTCCTACGCTGCCTCGTCCATAGCTTCAGCTGGAGACGACACATGGCGGGGGGCGGGGGGGGGTGTCTCTCTACAGTAATCATCAGTTCAGCTCCTTCAAATAATCTCCCAAAGGAAAAACCTCTCAGTTTCATTCGGGATGGCTTGGTTCCCGGGAGGTCTGGGTGCTGATTATGAGCCTGAGGTCAGCAAAGATTCCCTCCACGTCCCTGTTTGGTTTTTGGCTTGCTGAACCAAGGTGGGTAGTTTCTAGAAGCTCTGTGCTGCGAGGCGGAAAAGCAAAGGATTACAGAAGCGTTGTGGGCTCCTTGTCCGAGGAATCGTCTGCCTGTCCTGGGGAGGGAGGAAACTGCAACGTGTCTCGGAGGCGACCCGGCTGTGGCCCGCTGCGTCGGGAGGGGGGTGGCGGGGTCACGGTCGGTTTTCTGAGGTCAAGCATCCCTTCTGTGCGCAGGATTTAAGCCTGGAGTCATAAAGCCATCCGTCTGGGGTGTAGAAAGCCACCCCTCCTCCCACAACTTCCCCAATCAATTCTGTGATTTTTGCTAATGAAGTTAAAACAATTTGCACATTCCTACATCTCCCCGCGGGTGCAAGCGTTAGTGATTTCTAGCCAGTCAAGAAGACATGGGCTGATTCTCCAGGCCCGGGTGGGGGGCAGCAAACTCCTCAGCGCCACGCGGACGAGGGGGGAAAGTTCTGGGCCCTTGGGACGTAAATTAAATCCAGATATCGGTTCCCTGACTCCCTCCCTCCTCCCCCTTCTTGCTCTCTCTCTCTGATTCTCTCCAGTCACTAGTAGCAAACACAGCTGCTGGAGTATTTTAGCAGTGATGATGTCAGCCTGTTTCTGATAGGCTTCTGGGTAAAGCGACAAATCATTGGCTGTGCTGGGCGGGGGGGGGGGGGTGCCCTTGCACTTTTATTTTATAGCTCAAAAAGCAAGCCACCTTTTTGGCAGGCAACTCCCCCCGCCCTCCCCACCCCCCCCTCCCGCCCCAGGTCAGACCTGCTGCAAATACCCCACCTCCTCGTTTGCACCTTGGTCGTATGGTCGTATGCAGGCAAAGGGACCTGCGGTCTGGCTGCAGGGAGGAAATGAGACTCCCGGAGAAGCCGATTGATTACTCTATCATTCAAGCGTCCGGCGTGCGATGATTCGGGCAGGGAAAAGCCTCGGAGATGCTTCCTTGTCCAGAACTGCCAGGTCGATTCGAAAGCTCAAGAGGCCTGGGAAGCTCTTGGCCAGGAGGCTGCCGGGGCCTCGCGGCCGTAGCCGGGGCTGTTCTGTATTCTCAGGGTGAACGGGGTACAGGTAAGGAACCAGGCAGGATTCCCAAGTAACGCCGCTCCCTGTGCTGCTCCCCATTCGCAATAACGCTTTCAGGATGACAGGTGCCATGAAAAAGCACATTCAGGGCGCCTGGGCCGCTCAGTCGGTTAAGCGTCCGACTTCGGCTCAGGTCATGATCTCACGGTTCGTGGCTTCGAGCCCCGCATCGGGCTCTGTGCTGACGGCTCAGCGCCTGGATCCTGCTTCGGATTCTGTGTCTCCCTCCGTCTCTGCCCCTCCCCTGCTTGTGCTCTGTTTCTCTCTCTTTCAAAAATAAATAAAACCGAAAAATAAAACACATTCCCTTGCATTCCTGTTTATTTCCAAGCTTCACCTGGAGTCTGTTACGAGAGAATTCTGCCAAAGACAACTCCTTTTTTCCTTCTGGTGCCCACCTCCCACACGACACAGGCAGCTGGGAGTGAGCGGCAACCCCAGACGGGCAGGGAGTTCAAAATAACGATGCCACTTAAAAAAAAATCTGCTTTTCTCTCTCTCTTTTTTTAAATCTGAACTTGGACACATCTTTCTTGGACCTGAACTGAAGACAGTAAGCCTGTAGTGATGCTGTAACCATAAAAAAGAAACCTTTGGGGGCTAAAAGCTCTTGGCAATGCAGGCCCCCTGACACTGTGCAAGACCTGATATCTGGTCACTCACATGCACTTCTGGAAAACACTGGAAAATTCCACCTTCCCTGAAAACCTAAAAGTCTGCCCCAAACAATTTAAACCATTAACTAGTTTGTCTTTTTGTTTTTTTGGAATGCCCCAAATATCAGCTATGCCCATGACCATTTGCAATTCAAACCTGAGGGAGGTGCCGTCACCTTTGGGGTTCTTCAAAGTCCTCAATGGAAACGTTTCCAGGAGATCTGGGCTCAACAGGCCGAGCAAACTCCCAGCCTGGGGGCCACACCTGGTGGACTCTAAGCTACTTAGACAGCGAAGGTGCTGCTTTATATCAAAGGGCCACGGAATAAAGGTGTTCAAGTGATTTAATAGACTGTAAAGAAAGCACTGAAGGAGCCCACAGAAACTAAGAGAGTCCATAATACTTCCTCACCGTAATAGCATTTTACCGCTGGCGGTTCTTATTTAATAGGAGCCCAGGAGATCACCTGGGATTCTTGGACTGTGTTAACCCGGCCTTTTATGTCCCACATTCTTAATGCTTATATCTCGGAGCCCTGTGGTCTCTACTGGGGATGCCCCTCCAGGGTTGGCTAACTCCTTGCAGGGGAGAGATCTTCACACCCACACCCCCAACCACCTCCTCTGCTGGGCTTTTCTCCCGGGGCCCCTATCCACCCGCCCTCGTCACCCCAGGCCCAGGCAGCAGGCCCCCAGGGACAGCTGTGCCCCAGAGTTCCCTGAAATTATCCACACCAGCCAATCCTAAGCCTGCGCCCCCCCCGTGTCATTCCTTCCTTCCCACAATCGAGGCTCTTATCCACGTTAACTCCCTGTCCCCTGTCCCCCGACTGACGCTGGTGCTTCCCCGTGTGGCCCTGCATGGTGTCACCCGTCTTCTTGGGATCCCAGTGTAACAGGCTACCTTTTCAACGGCGGCAGCGGTATCGGCCTCGCCACACCTAAGTAACAGTAACAGCACCTACGTTTCAAAACACGGATGTGGGACCGGGACATGGTGACTGTGACCATCGAATGTCCCCGCCCAGACCAGCACCGCCTTTTCCTGGCAGATAAGAAGGGCGCAGTGACCCCTAGAAGGGCCTAGAGCCCTGAAGCGTTTCTCAATCAGGGTTCCTCATGTCAACTACAGAATAAAAACAAAACCAGACAAAACACGTGGAGCGGTGATTGTTTTACTCTCCGGAGGATGGCACCTTTAGGAGCCCCCCCCCCCCAGGAGCACAGAAGCGAATTCATCACCCACAGCGGATGCTTGGGGGCATTGGGACCTCAGTCCCTCATGAACCCCCTGGGAAAGATAATGGCCCTGCGGAGGGTGGGTGGAATGAGAACCCTCAAATCTCCCCCCGCCCAGCGCGAGGGTCGGCCTCTCAGAAGGCCCTCACAGGACAACGGGTCAAGGTCCCCTACCTTGGGCAGGGGAGGGGTGAGCGTTACCTGTGCCCGGTGCTCCCCGACGGCGAACTGAATGACGGCCACGCCCGGGTGGGGGCTGTCCTCGATCCTCTCCACGGTGCTCGAGTCGATCTTGAGGTCGCTGCTGATCTCCGCACTCTGGATGAAGTCTTCGGTCTTCAGGTCCTCCACCTTCTTCAGCTCCCCGTTGGCCAGCTGGATGATGGAGCCTTTCATGAAGTAGGGGGGCAGCGCGGAGGGCGCGGCGGCGGGGGAGGCCACCGACTGCACCACGGGCAGGTGGATCTGCGCCTGCACCATGGCAGGGTAGGCGGCCTGCGTGCCCAGCGCCTCGGGGCTGAAGTTCTCGTTCTTGGGGAGGGCGGTGGTGACGAACGTGTGGGGCACCGCGGCGAACTGCGGCGCCGACGTGGCGATGGCGGGGGCGGCCGCCGAGCCCTCCACGTCCGCGCTGCCCACCGGGATGAGCAGGGGCTGCGCGCCGGGGATCACCAGGTGCTGGGGCAGGCTGCCGGCGTAGGTGATGGCCTGCTGCTGGCCGCTCAGGTAGCCGATGACCGGCGCCTGCGTCCCCGCGTAGAAGGCGGTGGCGGGCAGTCCGACCGGGAGGGGCTCCGAGGCGCTGTGCGTGGTCTGGATGACCGTGTGGGGGGACAGCGTGGCGACGGCGGCGGCCTTGACGCCCTCGGGGCCCAGAGCCTGCTGCGGCGACAGCGCGTAGGCGCGGGGTCCCGGCTTCCCCAGGTGCAGGCCGCTCTTGTCATTGAGGGCGGAGGGCGAGGCCTCCCGGTGCGCGGCCTGCTGCGCCTCCAGGTCGGCGGCGGCGGCGGCGGCGGCGGCGGCGGGCGGGGTGCTGGTGGGCAGGACCATCACGGAGGCCCGGACCCCCGAGGCGTCCCGGCCGCCGTAGTCGGCGGCGCCCGGGTGCACCACCACGTGCCGCGGCTCGTAGGGGTGGGGCAGCGGCTTGGCGGCCTTGGCCAGGCCCAGGTCGGCGGGCGCCCCGAACCTGCGGCCCTTCTCCATCTCGCCGTTGAGGAGCTCCTTGGCCTGCGCGGCCTGCGGCAGCCTGTCCGCCTTCTTGGCGGCCTCCCGCGGCACGAAGTGGCCGCCGGCGTCGGTGTAGTGCACGACGACCTGCGGGGAGGGCGCCAGCGCGAGCGTGTGCGGGAGCATCGCCGCGTGCGGGTGCAGGTGCACGGGGAGGGCCGGGGGGGTCGGCGCGCGCCCGGCGCCCTGCGGGGAGCCGGCGATGCGCACGTACTGGCTCTGCGGCGCGGGCGGGGGCGACGCGGCGGGGCCGAGCCCGGGGGTCCTGCCCAGGTGCGGCGGCGGCGGCGGCGGCGGCGGCGGCGGCGGCGGCGGCGGCTCAGCCTTGTGCCCCGAGGCGTGGCTCAGGCCGCCCATGTTGGCCAGCAGCGTGGAGTAGGCGTCCAGCTGCGCGCGCGGGGACGGCGCGGCGGCCCCCGCGGCCGAGGCCGCGGCGCTGGGGACGGGGCTGGCCGTCGGGGAGATGAGCTGCGAGGGGATGAAGCCGGCGTAGGGCCCGCTGTACTGCGAGGCCCCGATGAACTGGAACGTGTGCGGCAGGTGGGCGTACTGGCCCGGGGACACGGGCGCCCCCGACGGCGGCGGCGGCGGCGGGTAGGCGGCGGGCAGCGTGGTGGTGGCCGGCGCCGACCGGGGCGCGCTGGGCGGGGAGTAGTCCAGCCCCGCGGGCAGCGCTTTGTGTAAACCTATTCCCTGCGGTAAACCGAGCTCGGGCGGCGCGGCGGCGGCGGGGCCGAGCCTGCCGCCCCCCGGGCCGCGGCCCCCCGCGCCGCCCGCCAGCCATGCGGCGGCCTCCGCGCGGGGCCCGTCGCCGGGCGCCTTCTCCTCCGACGGCCGGCTGGTGGCGGGGATCTCTCGCTTCTTGGGAGGCAGGCATTCGTTGCTCCGCTCTTGGTTGGATTTCATTTTTCGCCGTCCCCCCTCCACGGTGACTGCTTCACTGGCTGGCTGGCTCTGGTTTTAGTCTGATACATGGAAAGTCACATTGGATTTCTGTGGAGGGTCTAGGCTCTTCATGAGGAATCATCTCCCCGTGGGTGCGATCGGCCGGCAGCAGCTCTGGAATCTGGGGAGAGGCAGAGGGGGTGGGGGGGGGGAGGAGAGGAAATCAAAATATCAGACTGAGACTAGGCCTCTGGCTTCCGCGTGAATTCCCAAAACCTGATCACAGCCCCGGCCTGAAAGCGACTAAAAGCCACTGGCCAGTTGGAGAGCACATGGGGAAGATGATGACATGGGGCAGGCCAGAAGCTTCCAGAAGACGCCTTGGGATGGCCATCAACGACTCTCCTGAGAACGTCTCCATCTCCTAAGACAGGGTTCTCAATCCCCTTTGTTTTTTCTTTTCTTCTTAGGGGGGAGATGATTTAGCTCTTAAATTTCCTTTTCAGAAATGTCCCTTCTCTACCTCTTCTGTCCCTTGCTGGGAAATCACACGAAGCCCACAGCAAAGGTGACCTCAGAGGAAGTCAGCCTCAGACACAGGCGCTGGGAGGGGACAGGTGAGGAGCGGGGGAGGGGGCCCGGCCCATCTTCAGGTGTAAGGTGTGTGTGTGGGGGGGGGGGGGCCGCGGTCCCCGCCCACCTTCAGGTGTAAGGTCTGAAGCGTCACCTAGCAGAGCTACTACCCGAAAGTTCTGCCTGACTCAGGGTCCATACTCTCATCCAAAGCCATTCCGTCTTCCCTCACACACACTCACGGCACCACACGCCAGCTCAGCAGAGCCAGCCAAAAATAATCATGTTCTCTACAAGTTTCCAAAGAATTCCCAGTACAGCTACTCATAGGGTAACAGAAAGCCAAGAGAAATCTGTGAGACAGTTAAAAAATGAATATGGTTATGGTTACCAAAAAAATAAAAGTGCACTGATAGGGCGGACACATTGAAGGTTCCTCCTTAGTGACGGTTACACGCTTGCTTCCTTCCCCTTTCTGTCTTTCTTTCCAGGTAGTCTCTGCATTCTCTCTTCGCATCAGCTCTCTCCCTTTCTCGTTGGAAAGGGCCAACCCACCATTAACCCTAGAGATGAAACCTCTTTTCAGATCAATCAGCCCCAGGCGCCTCAATCTCGATCTATAAATAGTGGGCTGGGAGCCAGCTCTTACGGACATATAGCTCCGTCCCTCAGTGGCCGGTGACCTCGGAGTCACTGTGATTGTGCAGACAAATGGACGGCCACTGGCAACAGACAGACCATCAGTGGAACCCACAGGAACGGGGCGAACAAGCAGATGTGGGTGCTCCTTACAGGCAGCGGCTGCAGACCCAAGCACTGCCATCTGCTGGCATCCTGGGAAACTGAGGCACTGGGCTTTAGGTTTGAGCATTTCTCCTACCCAGACCCTCTTTTCTATGATCTGATTTTGTAAAATTTTTGTAATGTTTATTTTTGAGAGAGAAACAGCATAAGCGGGGGAGGGGCAGAGAGAGAGAGGGAGACACAGGATCCAAAGCAGGCTCCAGGCTCTGAGCTGTCAGCACAGAGCCAGATGTAGGGCTTGAACTCATGAACGGTGAGATTGTGACCTGAGCTGAAGTCAGACGCTTAACTGGCTGAGCCACCCAGGTGGCCCAACCTTTATTTTATTTACTTATTTTTTAGTTTTACTTATTTTTGAGAGAGAGAGAGAGACAGCACAGGTTGGGGAGGGGCAGAGAGAGGGGGACACAGTGTACCCAGAAGCAGGCTCAGCGCTGACAGCAGAGGGCCTGATGAGGGGCTCAAACCCACAAACCGCGAGATCATGACCTGAGCCTAACCGACTGAGCCACCAGCTGCCCCTTCTACCATCTGATTTTAAAACAAACACGAGGCAGCAAGCAGCCTTCAGCATTCGATCCTTGCTGACGCAATGGGAACATCCCCGCGGTCACTAACATAGCCACTTTCTCTCTTCTGCCTGCACCAGCTTGCCCTTCATCTCTCCTGTGTAGTTGCACTACCCCAGCCTAGTCTGTAACTTTTTTTGGACCAATGATTTTCGTGGCCATGGTTACTCTTGCTTCAACATCATGGCCGATTATCACAATAAAAAGATGATTCAAGAGACAGTCCCTATCCTTAATGGTTGTGGTCAGGGGGATATGAGGCGGAAGTTTATAAATTTGGGGTCTCAACATCCAAGGTCATTTCAATAAGAACAGGACTTTATTCTTCATAAAGAGGCACATTAAAGACAGATGGAAACAAGAAATAAAGTGAAAAGATCTAGCACATTAATGCTGGAGAAATATCTGTGTTCAAGAACTAATGTCAATTATTTACCCTCCCGACCTAGGGCTTTTTATACGTTCAAAATGCCCCTGCTCTCAGTAGCTGTCTTTTATAAACAGTGCAGCACATACTTCACACGCAATACTTGCAAATCAATTAGGAGGCCAGTGTCATGTTCAAAACAACGACAGAATAAAATTAAATTACAAAATTATAAAAAAAACCCAGTTTCCCCTTCTGGCTGCTTAAAAAGTGCTGGCAATGATCTTTTAGGTTTAGATTTCGAGAGTCACTTAAAGAATTGCATAAGCTCCCACATTCCCAGATCAACTAGCAAATCAACTAGCAAAGTCATTTAGATCTACTCAAAGCAAACCGTTCCATGCGCCCCCTGCTGGCTCCATGGTAGCACTGCGCCAAGAAAACCCCACAGGATTTCATTAGGGATGTTCATGCAAGAGTGATATGTCAGAATCCAAAATGAGACCATTTGCATACAGTAGGCCCAGCCAGTAAGGGAATAGGTTAATTAGCCCAAGGCAGCTGGAGGGAAGAAAAAGCAGCAGCATAAAAGTCCTTTCAAAGCCAAGCAAAATGTCAAACACATTCAGAAGAGGTCCATTAGCAATGCAAATGTAAAATTGCCTGTACAGCCGAATGCACAGTATACAAAACCAGAAAACCCCTCTGAAGGTACTTCTTAAAGAACCCAGATTTAGTGAATCTGAAAAGGAATGCTGACTTGGTTCTCAGTAGCGCCTTAGTTTATGTGTTAAGTGTTTATTTGAGAGACACAGGCTTAGCGGGGCCCTCAAGACCTCTGTACAGGCTCCAGGGCTCGTCTTCTGCTAACGGAACACCAAGACATATTGGCCTTAATGCACGGATTCCAATTTATTCTTCTGAAAAGTGATCCATTGATAAATGTCTTCTGCAGATAATATTAATGATAAATCAAGGATCTAGGGACAAACACAGGACTTGGAGCAGCCTAGCGCCTGAATGATACAAATTTCAACTCATCCTCCGCCCACATTTAGAATTTAGGCGGGGCTCTCTAATTCCGGGGCCTGCGTCCCTTCTTCACGCTCACTAGCTCTGTACTATCTGAATCTCCCATTAGGGAGGGAGAAGCACCGTGAGGGTACGTATTGAGTCTTGCTGTATTTTCAGGGAACCACCAGAGGGCGCCACAGCTTGCCACCAGGTCCCTGGTACGCCTTTGAGTATTCATGGAATTGAAAGAATGGAGAGATATATTATGAAAGTGGAAAAGCAGGGAAGGGAAAAGGAAGGCAGAGAGAGATACAAAACCAAATAGAAGAAGAGGAAAAAGGAGAATGGGATTTTTGCTTTTTAGGGTCTTTCTAGTTGCAGACAAATGGCGTCTGTGTCCCTCATTACCTTCTTGGGGCTGAAACACACCAATGGTTTAGCTGGGCCCCTGGGGGGCTCACTTCTGGGTGTACCACAGAAACATTTCTTCCCAACATGAGACCACACACTATTTTAGAAATGCTCAGTTCCCAAAGAGCCATATATGCAGATCCCATTGTTCAAACATTATTATTAAGAAAGTTATTGGATGAATCAAGACAAACTTACTGAGGCTTTAACTACATACAGTTTGCCTGAGAATCTCTGTTCTGAATGCACTCATCTTAAGCGTCTTAAGAGTCTTTATATCTACATATTAATCCATCCCTCTGTTAGGATCTTAGAGTTGAACTCCGTTCAATAAGGCTTTGCTCTCCAGAGTGCAGGCATCAAACCAGCAACACTAGTATCCTCTGCAGCTTTAGAAATATAGGATCTCCTCGTGGTTCGTGGGTTCGAGCCCCGCGTCGGGCTCTATGCTGAATGCCAGCTCGGAGCCTGGAGCCTGTTTCGGAGTCTGTGTCTCCCTCTCTCTCTGACCCTCCCCTGCTCACTCTGTCTCTCTCTCTCTCCTAGAAATAAATAAAACATTAAAAAAAAAAAAAAAGAAATATAGGATCTCAGGCCCCACTCTGCCCTCCTGACCTCCTGATTTAGAATCTGCATTTTAACGTGCGCCTTGGTGGCTCAGTCCATTGAGCCTCTGACTTTGGCTCAGGTCATGATCTGGTTCACAAGTTTGAGCCCTGCGTGGGGCTCTGTGCTGACAGCCTGGAGCTGGCTTCGGATTCTGTCTCTCTCTCAAAAATAAATAAAAAACATTAAAAAAAAATTAGACTCTGCATTTTAAAAGGTCTTCAGATGATTCATATGCACAGGATGGTTTCAGAAACTCAGGTATGAGATTAAATTTTCTAATCATAAGCTCCTAAGCAAATTAAACATCTCTAGCCTCTTTTTCGGATGCAGGAGGTGCTGAGAAACCAAAAGCAGAATGGATGGAGCCTTGGAGATAAGAGGCTAATATTTAGGAAATATTCCAGTGTTTATTTGGGGGTTAGTTAGACTCCACAGAGTTCTAAGTATCAAAGGCTCCCTTTCTTCTTCTTCTTTGTGTCTTCACAAAATATAAGGAAACGAGCTTTAAAAAAGCTGTTATCATCAATTTTATACGAGACTTCATCATCTCCAAGAAGAAAAACAAAATTTAACAAAAGAAGCCCCACACTTGCATCTCTGCTATAATTCAAAAAAATATCCCCCACTACTGTGGGTTTATGCTCTTTCAGAAATGATAGGAAAATGAGAGGCTTCTGAGCTGGAAGATGTGGGAACGTGTCCCCACCGAGTCCAAGTCCTGTAAATAACAACCGCTTTACACGGGAGCCACTCCTAGAATTTGGATACATCCAGTCCTAAAAACGCACGCCAATGTCATGGCCGTAAAGGGAACCGCTCTGACCGGCACACCCA